TAGTGTATATCCACGTTTTCTTGAAGCAGATCGACGTACCATTTAAGAACTGTCAAATTCATTTCTTCGAGATCTGACTTAGATCGTTTAAAAATTACGTGTCTCCGTTAATAAGTAAAGAAGGACACTTTCGAAAAGTTCTGATATCACCTTATCAAATTTCTTTTTCCTCGACTGCCCCTTTGGCGAAGTGGAGTCTCGTTGCGCAAATTGCGATGGATCGTATTAAAACCCGAACCGTGTATCTCTTTGCTTATCGAACGATCCTCGTCCGAACATCGCGATATAGAAAAGAGCTCGAAGAAAAAAATCGGAGTGCATACGCATCGCGTGCCAAGGTTTATCCTCCGGTGTGCGGCGCTAGGCGCCGAATGCGCAAAGTGCCGGCTACGTGGCAGGCCTTATTAGGAGGCATAGTTAACGAGCGGGCCGGCACGGCGATCGTTCGTGATTCACGCTTTCCTCGCCGTGATCCCATTTAACGCCGTTGATTTCGAGTATCGCGAACGGTGGTTCGCCCGCGTGGAAATCCCGTGTCTGAGAGCTGGCGCGGTGCGGCGCGACTCGGCTCGATCGCCAACCACACGCATCCACCTCCGGTTTATGCTATCCTTGGACGGCGTCTCTGTCCGTCTGTAATTATGCGGCTCGATTTGATGAGCCGCGCGCATCAGATGGTTTCGCGCGATTCTTTCCAACGTTTTCATTAAAATGTCTGCGCATTGCCGGACCGCGGCCTAACAGCGGTTTCGCGCGAAACACGGACGTGATTTATCGGCGTTGCACGCGAATCCAAGATCCCATTAGCGGGACCGGTTAATTAGCAGTAATAGACGCTCTACCACCTCTCTCTCTCTTTCTCCCTTTGTCTCTCTCTCTCTCTCTTTTTCTCTGTGCCTCGCGGCTTTTACATCAAAAGGAAATTTGTTTACCGGACAACCACTTTGCGCGATTAACCTATCCTCGCCATCGACAGATCGCCGTGTCTGACGTCCAAATGGCCGTGGTCCAAAATATTGTTCGAGATTGGATTCTTTGAAGTCTCTTTCTCTCTCTCTCTCTCTCTCTACACGTTTAGCTGGTAGGCGTTCTTGGATATTAGGATCGAAAGGGTGGCCTGGACGTCTTAATCGATGAAGTAAACGCCGGAGAACGAGTTCTACGCTTGTCGGTCTATTTTGATTCCAATTTTCTCTGGTACCATAAAATTCTATTGCATAAAAACGATTTACTAACAGTTATTTATGAATGAACGTTATTATATGTACTCCGATAAACGACGAAGATGTCGAACGTCGGTGTTTGATACATCTGATCAATTGTTCGATTTACGACGATATTATGTAATACTAAACACGTTGATTATCTTAATAACCATTTTTATAGCGTTACCTATATGGCTAGCTATTCTAAATCCACGCTGGTTAGCCTGCTTAAATGACTCATTAGCGACGATTATTAAGGCTCGTTTGTATCATTAAGAGATCGTAATTGCGGTTAATCGGTGCTCGTAAAGAAGTCTCGATTCTTTCTTCTTCTTTTCGTCGTCGTCTCCCGGTATCCTTGCCAGGAGTGGACATTTATTTGATTTAATATTCTCGTTACGTAAGGATAATTCCACGTTCTAGAAGAAGTTTAAGGCGTTTCTCGAATCTCGGATATTATCGCAGGATGCACGTGCGAACGCATCGAAGTTGTGGGACCATTTTAACCGGCCGTTTAGCCACGCACAACTCAAAATGTCATCGTAGATTCGCCCGAGGGCGATTTCATGGGTGAACACCGTCTTAAACCTCGGAATTATTGAAAACGACGTTTACGTTATCGTGGGAACGGCTATCAGTCGACGTCCTATGGACAGCTATTCATCGTTCGTGGAGAACCGTAATCGCTATCGATGATGGTCATTAATATCCCTGGCTGGATAACTTGAACTCCATGATCGACGATATCGGCATGGTACGCATTATGATTTAGAAATCGGCCTCTGCCACGGACGTGAGATACACAGGTACCATTAAAAGAACAGTTCGATCGCGTAAAGCAATATAAGAATTCGGATAATCGGGTCTTGCCTCGATCGTGAAACAATGCAGGATTGAATAACCCGCGGTATTTGCACGGAAAAAGAAAGTACCGGAATACCTCCAAGTTTTTCTTTCTCTTGCTTGTCGAGCAATGGAAGGGGGAAGAAAAGTGATCGGGTGGAAATGTTCTTCGACTAAATTCGACTTCTTTTAATAAAAGTGTATCGTAACGCTTGGGGTAATTTGAACATGATTTTAATACATAATCAAGATGTGAGGAGAACACGAAGTGCGGAACACGATCCTTTTATCTGGTATCTTCGGAACGAACGATTCGATCGAAGATAGATAAGAAGCAACGAGATCGATATTGTAACGATCGACGATCCACCGCGATAAGGCAACGATTTAATGTAATAATTAATAATAACAATGACCGTGCGCTATTTCGTAGCGGAGGCGGCGCGACTGGAACAATGTAGAACATCGAGCATGTAACTCGGTGAGTTATGCTCGCTCCGGGTGCGGATACCCGGGTCGTTCGTTTATCTCGTATCTTTGTTATCTCGCCACGGGAACGATGAATATCGCGGCTGGCGACGAAAGATCAACGATCGTGAATGCACGACCGCGGGCCAATCGATTCCAATGATACCATCTATTTTTAACACGCCGCGTGACGGCGCCCGCGATCCAACAGCGTCGCGAACACGATCGCCGCTGATAAGGATGATTTTCCCTAATTCGGTTCCAATTCGAAAGTTGGAAAATTTAGAAATTTTTATATTTGGAAATTTGAGGTTTCGAAGATTTGACAATTCGAAATTTTGAATATTTTGGGAATTTGATATTTCGAAGATTTGGGAATTCCGAACTTTGAATATTTGGGAATTTGAGGTTTCGAAGATTTGGAAAACTGGAAACTTTGAATATTTGAAAATTTAAAATTTTGAAAATTCGAAAATTCAAATCCCCAACATTCGCGAATTCGGGATTCCATCGCAAAATCCGAATTCTTCGAATCGGGAAGCCAGGGCGGCAAGAATTAGCTATACCGTTTTTTCTCGATCGGCTCGCGTCAGAAGCGGAACGGAAAGCGACTTTCCCACGACTGTGGAGAACCACTTCGGGGCGAGTTCCTTGAAAATTCACGCACACACTCATGCACGTGGTGCGTAAAATTCGCACGAATTCCTATTTAATACGCGGTCGATCGCTCCTTCTTTGATTGGTGCGCGCTGAAAAAGGTCACGAGCCAAAGACGGGAGGGTGGTTGGAGGCGAGCACACCGGAAGAACCGGCTCCGGGAGTGCAGAACCAGGAATGAAGTCATTAATCGTCTTTTCGAGCAATATATTATTTGCGAATTTCCATTTCTCATTATTCTTAACGCGGTCCGCGTTGCCAGCCATCTGCCCACGTTAAACCGCGAAATCGTTCTTGCGATTAAAATCGTCCCTCATCCACGCGTACAGACGTATTTCACGTTCGTTCGTCTTCGCGACCAAATTGGCAGGCTCACGAAGATATAATTAAGCTGCCTTTCCATCTTACTATACCTTCGCTTTCGCTTCAATTTTACGGATCTTGCGTGCACAATAGTGATTGAAGCGCTCGAATCGCGTATAAAGTGAGTGATCGAAATGCTGTAATTTCTGCTCGATCATTTCTACCAATTTTATTAATACTAACTTTCCTCTCGCATTCTACTGCACCATACTTCCACAAATAAATACCAAAAACCCACTCTACTCTTAAAATGCACAATCTAAAAATTCAAGTAACACCAAATTAAACCAGAGATAAATAAACACCCCTGAACATTTACACGTGTACCAAATCTAAACCCGTTTCGAATCTGTCGAGAGCTACGTCGACGGTGGCTGGTCAGGATAAAACGATCGACTGGAAGTGGAAGAAAGAAGGAAGGAACGGAAGCGAGAGCAAGCGAACCGCGCCTTAATGGAAACGAACTAACGACCCGTGGAAACGTAAACGCAGTCACGTACTCGCGGGTAACGATCGACGAGTGACCAATCAATGGTGATTATTTATGGTTATGGGTACGGCTACGGGACACCGGCTACTTTTCGTACGATTCCGTGGGTCCCAGGGACACCTTAACGAGTCGGTTGGAAAAATGTGAGCGGCTGGCTGGCTAGATCCTGCGAGAACGCGTAAACCGAAGCGAAATCGGCGTCGATCCGCTCGATCGACGACGCTTTCCACCGTGTCTCTCTGTTTCTCCTGGATCGCGGAGTCGCGACCATCGTCCCACGGTTTCTCGATCCGCTCGAGCGCGTTATTATTGTCGTTTCATTGGCGAATCGAAACCCTTTTTCTCCTGGAATTTCGGTTGCATTTGATGTGGTCGAGAGATATCTCGCCTTCAATGGAGGAGGGAAAAACGGTTTCGAATCCTTTTTATACACCGCGAAGTTTGATTTATCGTGGTCGTTGTTCTTTTCAATGGATCGCAATTAGAACCTGTTTTTATGGATATTAGAGGAATTTCTTTGTGGGAGGTAATAGGTGTTATTTGGAAAACTCCTGTGAACCGAGTAATTATCAAGTGTAATCGACACGATTGCAGAATTATTTCACATCTGTCTTCACTTCGCTCTGATACGTTAATTTGTGTTACACCAGTGTACACGTGGTGATACAAGTGTGACACTATTTTAACCAGAGTAAATTCTATTGAAAAACGCGACCGAAAGTCACGGGATAAGGTCCATTCTGGTTGCAATTGACGCGAACTGGAAGTCACGGGACGAGTGAATCGTAAATCATTATCGTCGTTCGGTTAATTGACGTTAGGACCGATAGGAGGGCCGCGATAATGGCCTCCCTTTAGCCGCGCTTTTATCGCGGGAACCACGCGAGAATCGATAATTGATTATTATTAATGAAATGCTTGTCCACGATCATTGCCCTCTTTAACCGCTGTGTTTTTTCTCTTTTTGTTCTCAGGACGAAGTAAGTAACGAGCCACGACAGTTACGCCTCGAGTGCTATAGGCGAGACGCTTATGACGAAAACACGGCGAACGGAGAACGTGAGCTTTTTCGAAGCCATTTTACAATACCACGTTCACGCTTGTCTCTGTGGAAGCTTGCCATCGGTCTGCGTCCACCGAGTGTAACGTGGACGTCTGTTCTTTCATCTGATTCGATCTGGAATTAATCACTGATCGTCTATGAATTTTCGATCGAGATTTGCCCTGTGTTCAAGTTCTCTTTCATGTCAACCTGAATAACGAAGATCGAGGTCCTTCCATCGATATTGTAACATCCTTGAATAAATCTGAAAACCTTCCTCTACTTTTTTATCAGTTGGTCGTCGGTATTATCAGAGTCTTCGTTCAGATACGGATCGCACGAAGTCGTTGCAAATAGGTTAATCCTGTTCCGCAGCAATAAACGAGCGAGTAGAAAATCAGGATGCGGACAGGTATCAATGGCCTTCGGTGACCAACGTCGAAGAGGTCTTAATTCCTCGAATGACATTTCACTCGTTAACCGGACCGCGTTTCCCGTTCGTTTCCGCGAAAGCTCGCGCAAAACGCGGCTCATCCGCCGTTCCTGCACACGGAAACTAACGAGCTGTTCGACGTTCGACGTAAATTACCTTTTCGAATGTGGGTTACGAGCTCCTTACCCTCCCTCTGCAACCGATATTAACGTTGGCCCCCGCGAGTGCATACATACGTCTGTATGGTACTCGAAACGATTCCCCTTGTCCCGGTTTAACGAGGGCCGCGATTCGACGCGTAGCCAGCCTTTAAAACTGTCAATCGACGCGGATCGAAGTCGAGCCGCTCGTAATTCTCGTCGAATCGGAGGAATGACTGCGAGGCAGAGAAGTCGGGAAGGCCGGTTGGCCGTGTCGACACGCTTAGCCTCGTTTGTCCCGAGTAATGGCCGTAGTCATAACTCAACCGCGGAGTACGGCCTCTCTCGATCGAGTCCTGGACTCTACAACAGTCATTTCTGCTTGCTCGACGTGACGCTTACACGCGACCGACCGATCGAGACTGGCCGAGCAAGCAGGATAGATCAGATTCACGGAAACGACAAGCCGATCGGCTCTTCGCGTTCGAAGATCGCGCAACTCGTTTGAAGAAGACGATATCTGGTCGGATCGTTCCAGTAGCTTCCACGAGAATGTGCCTTTTCATCGGTGGGATAGGGTGTACAGATAGAGGGAACTCTGCTTCGGTAGAATGTTAGTTAGCGGAGAATGTGAATTCTGTCTGTTTCGTAGTCGATGGGAGTGCCTTTGATTTTTTTAGACAGGCTAAGTTTCGATCTTTTGTATAGATCATTGGAAGGAGAGAGGATGTTGGAAGATAGGCTGTCAGAAACACTTGTTGGATTAAAAACGATCTAGGCGAAATCTCAATTTTTTGTATAGATCACTGGAAGGCGAAAGGATCTTAAAAGATAGGCTATCAGAAGCACTTGTTAAATTAAAAATGATGCAGGCAAAGTTTCACTTTTTGTATGGATCATTGGAAGTAGGGAGAATCTTAGAAAATAGTCTGTCAGAAACACTTGTTAGATTAAAAATTATGTAGACAAAGTTTCAATCTTTTGTGTAGATCATTGGAAGAAGAGATGATCTTAGAGAAATTTGGATTAAAAAATGTGATCGATAATGTAAGGAAGGGAGAATTTTTCCAAGTCCTGCGAAAAGTGTCTTCTTTAACCACCACAAGCAATTGGTTCATCTCGTTTTCTCCCATTTTCGAACGTTCTACAATTATCATATCGAGGCAGTAATAGATCGAACGACACGTCCACATTCCTCCAAGAAACTGCTCGTCTGTAACGTGTTCCCGGGATGGTATTCACGCGACACTTTCTGCCCAGCGACGGTAATTCCGTGTTGGAAGAACCGCGAGAGACACGAGAATTTATATCGAGATCACTCTCACACGCAACACTCACTGTCCCCGCGACCACGCCGTTCTGCACGCACTTGAGACGCGGAAGAACCGGTGAATTACACGAAACGCACTATCTCTCACCGAACTCCGGCTCGATTCATCCATCGTCGCCGTAGAAAAACGATATTTATGGCAACAGCTACCGCTATCCACCGCCTGTAATTCGTTTCTTTGCACGCGTGTTGACCTGTCCGCCAGATTTCCCATGCGATGCCCACGGACATTTCCCGTTCGTGGAACTCGGGTGCACCCCCGCGGCGACCGTCTTTAATTACGCGCGTTTCCCGCCACGCGGGATACCTACCAGGCTAATATTTTAATAAATATCGGGGCACAGTGGCGAGCTGAATATTCGTCGTTAGCCTGCTACACTCGTCCAGCTCACGTGGCTAATCGTTGGAAATTGGCCGAACTGCATGGCTCGACCGCTGCGTTCGGCCTTTTAACGAGCGAACGACGCACCCTTTCCTCCTTCCTTCTACGTGACGCCGTTCAACG